AATGACTGATAAGCTTTTGTTCCACCCTGACTACTACGCACCTGTCCTCATTACAAACAGTTTCCTAACATGCACAAAATATCCTTGAATTCCAGAATTGGGTGCTTCTTTTTTTTTTTTTGGATAGAGGTAACATTTTATGGTGTAGCATCAAAGAACTTTAGCAAAATCAACATCGATGAGAATCAGAATCATCGTACCTACCGAATAAGAAAGATGATTATGGTTGTTGGTCAATAACAATGCAAGGACATTGTTGCAGTGGTTCTTGAGGATAGTGTCCTCAGCTCAATCATCATCTGCATCTATGGTCATAAGAGGTATCTGCTGCTGATGGCACACTGCTTCACTTGACTTTGCATAGTGAACAGTCTTTGGTGATTATATAGCAAGACATGGACAGCATTCACCTTGGGCTGAAATCTGTAAGATGCACTGCAGAAGTCCACTAAGGCTCCGTAGACAAAGATGTCAGACAATGGCCATCAGTAAGAGCTCCTTTCCCTTTGATATTCAGTGGCTTTGCTGTCAATAAGTTGGAGGTTAAATGTAGTTCAGAAACTGAACTGGACCAGTAATAAATACAGTGGCAACGACAGCAGGTCAGTGGCTGGGAATTCCGTGACGAGTACTTCATCTCCTGACTCCCTAAAATCTGGCCATCTATAAGGCCCAAGCTAGGAATGAGATGGAATACTTCCCATTTGGCTGTTGTGTATCATAGCTCCAACAACATTCAAAGCTTGACATATATCATCCAGTGATTTGCTTGATTGGCGCACCATCCACTGCCACCAACTTTCTGTCCCTTCACTGATTACAGTACAGCAGTGTATACCATATACAAGATGCTACGCAGCAAACTAAGTTTCCTTCAGTAGCACCATCCAAATCTGTGGCCTTTACCACTTAGAAAGTTGAAGGCAGCAGATGTATGGGAACACCACCTGCAAGTTCCCCTCCAAGCCATTCCTCAATCTAACTTGGAAATATATTGTTACCTCACTGTTTCAGGGTCTAAATCTTGGATCCCTCTCTGTAATGTGTATCTACACCTGAGATGTGCCTTAGCTCAAAAGCACCTTACTATCTTTTTGTCAAGGGGAATTAGAGATAGAAACATGCTGGTTTTGCTGCTCCTGCATCCTATGAAAATTATCAAATTGTTGGGCCATCACAGGAGGAAAGAGATGGGGTGAGAAATCATCTTACTACTTAACATTTGCTTGTGTTGCAGGTTTGATTTTTGTGGTTGACAGTAATGATAGGGAGAGAGTGAACGAAGCTAAAGAAGAGTTGATGAGAATGCTAGCTGAAGATGAGCTACGAGATGCTGTGTTATTACTGTTTGCAAACAAACAGGTGAGTACCAGATTTAGATAGAACACTCAATACTGAAGACCGGACATTCTGGACAGCACTGTTGAATGGAGCCTGACTTGTGTTGCTTTGCACAACCATATCCCTCCTGTGTAAATTGCATATTTGTAACACTGATTTTAGCCTGTTTATTCTGGCTTGAGCATGAAAGCTACACAGGTGTACTCCAGTATCAGTTTGAATTACATGATGTATTAAACAGTCAAGTGTTCCAAATTCTGATCACTGAGCTGTCTGGTATCAATTGATTTTGATCTGGTTGCTGCTTCCATGAGGTTTGTTTACATTAACTGCTGCACTGCAGCTAATAGCTTGCAATTGCATGGCGTTACTTAGCTGCTGAGTGCCTTTTGTCAAACTTTGTTTTTAATGCCATGTTTAGATGGGCCTAAATTTAAACGGTTAGGGAAAAAATTGCAGGCCCCCTAGCAGAGATATTTGTATTACCTGTAGCCACAGGTGAGATGCCAGAGGATGGCTAATGCTGTGCCTTTATTTAAGAAAGGCTGTAAAGAGAAGCCTGGGAACTGTAGACCTGTGATGGGTTATGTTGTTGGAGGGAATTCTGAGAGGTAAGATTTACATGCATTTGGAAAGGAAAGGTCTGATCGGGGATAGTCAGCATTGTTTCTTTGGGAAATCCTATCTTACTAACTTTTGATTGTGGTTTTTTGACGACGTAAAGATTGGGGGAACAGCAGTAGACACTGCCAACATGGACTTTAAGTAAAGCCTTAGACAAGTTTTCGCATTGTAAGATGAATTAGTAAAGTTAGAACACATGGGATTTGCAGAGCTTGCCAAATGGATACAGAATTGTCTTGATGGTGGGAGACAGTGGTGGTGGGGGGTGGTTTTTCAGGTTGGAGGCCTGTGACCAACTGTGTTCCACAGGGATCAGTGGTGGGTCTGCTTTTGTCGTTTTATATAAATGATTTGGATGAGAATTTAGGAGGCACGGTTAGTAAGTTTGTGGATGACACCAGAGTTGGTAGGCAGTGAAGTGGGTTAAAATTACAAAGGGATCTTTATCATTTACTGAGAAGTGCAGATGGAGTTCAGTTTGGATAAATGTTTGTTTTACTAAAAAATGTAATACTTCACAAGGGTAGGACTTGTATGGTTAATGGTAGGGCTCCGGAGATAGTGGTGTTAAACAGACCTAGGTGTTCAGGTACATAGTGCTTTGAAAGTTGCATCACAGGAAGGCAGGTTGGTTAAGAAGGTGCTAAGCACGTTTGCCTTCAGGCCAATGATTACATAAATTGGGACATCAGAAAGAGGGTGTACATCATGTTGGTGAGGCCACTTTTGAATTACTATGTACTGTTCTGCTCACCCTGCTATTGGAAGGATATTATTAAATTGGAGAAGATTCAGAAAAGATTTGCCAGGATGTTGCAGGACTGGAAGGTTTGAATTAAGGATAAGCTAGGATTTTTTTTTCACCGGAGCTTAGGAGGTTGAGGGGTAACCTTTTGTAGAGTTTTATAAAATCACGAGGGGTGTAGATAAGGTGAATTGGAAAGGTAAATTCCCCAGGGGTCAGAGGGGAGGAGAGAAGAGTTCAAAACTAGAAAGCATTTTTTTTTGGGTGAGCGAAGAGTAATCTGAGGGCAACATTTTCATACAGGGGGTAGTAGATGTGTGGAATAGATTCAAGTACAGTTACAATATTTAAAAGATGTTTGGATAGGTACTTGAGTAGGAAAGGTTTATAAGAAAATGGGTCAAACTTGATTGGCATGGACAAGTTGGACCAAAGGGTATGTTTCCATGCTGTATGACTCAGAATCTTCGATCTATTTCCAATTTGCATTTTCTCCACCCTCTAGGATTTGCCGAATGCAATGAATGCTGCAGAGATCACAGATAAACTAGGTCTGCATCAACTCCGTCAAAGGACCTGGTTCATCCAGGCAACCTGTGCAACCAGTGGAGATGGCCTGTATGAAGGACTGGACTGGCTGTCCAGCCAGCTTAAAAGCAACAAATAATTAATTTTTTTCCCTTCCTCCTTCCCCTTCCTGCCTGTCCCTTCTTCCTGCTTCATTATGTAGTGTGGCAAACTGCTACTTTGTGGTATTGGGTGCCAGGAACCTGCTTCATTACATCCAATCACGAACTATAACATCATATTGTATGGGTGAGAAGTGCCGACATGAAAGGAAATATGTGGTTTCTTATTTAAAATGTGTATATATCGTCCCTTTTTGTAATGAGGCAGCTTCTTGCTACTCCTATGCAATATTTACCCTCATGGTTGTTCTTTGTTTTCCCTTCTTTTGAAGGTTTAAACTGATGTGTAAAACTGACGTGTAAATATTAAGTGTAGGAAAGGGATATACAAATAGACTAGAAGTGGGAGATGTCTGTGCTCCCAAGAGTGCAATGCACTGCAAAGTATGTTAGCAGATTTCACTTGTTAACTCTGGAACAAGGTTCCAAGGTGTGGGGTATGGCTTTTTGATGGAGGGAGGGAAGCTTGCATGTGACCTTACACTTGTTCAACTTGTTTTCCTCCTTGCCCACATTTGGGATTTTGGGAGTGAAGGACTATTTTGATTTTTTTTTTTAATTCTAACATACATTTTTGAAGTGATTTATGGGTTCCAATTCTCTTGCACTGTCCTGCGAGTCATTCTCAATGGTTGCAAAAGTATCCCTTTCCTAGACCTATGCAGGCTGGATTTGAAATCAGAATAAAATATTCTAACCCACCTTTCTGCCTTCTGAATAATTTGAAGTCCAATTTTCAAATAGTTTAATTTAAAATGAGCAGATAGCAGTTAATTATTTGTGTGCAGGAGGTTCACATGAATTGCAGGCCACTTAAAATTAATTTTGATATCATGAATTATCAGGGAAGAGGAAGTCAGTGACTATTAGCAACAATTCTTGAACTATTGAGTGAAGTGAAAAGACACCATTAGCCAAGAGTGTCTAGTTTATAATAACTTGTTTAATTCTGGAGTTGTGCTGATTCTTTTCTTCTCTTCTGCCTCCTGGCTCACCTGAGTAACTGTAAACTGACCACAGCATGCAGGCACCGTTGGGTCAGATGAAAAGAGCTTTTTGGCTTTTGTTAGCTTGTCCCTTTGCTAGTGTATACCAGATAGCAATGTTCAGTGAATGCACCTAAATCCTCTTTCCCCCACCTCCCACCCCTTCTGATTTTCTTAGTGTGTTGAAACTACATCTGAGTCATTCCATTTTTTGATGTAGAGCAAAGACCTGTTGCCATCAGTTCCTGTTCCTTTCCCTCCTGCTGTAACATTGAATGTGTGGAGCTCAAGGCAAGACCCAGCCACCTGATACGTGAATACTGCAAGGACCTGGTTTGCCAGCAGTTTTTTTTTCTCCTTTCCTTACCTTAGTTAAGGCTGAGAAGTATGGACAGTAATACCTGGGTCTGATCAGGATGGGTTATTGCTGTGAAGTTAATCCTTTCATTACACACACTACTAATCAAATGTTTTGTATACTTGTTTCAATTTATTTTGATGAGCACTGTAATTAAAGCTGTTAGAATAAAATCTAAGATTCCTTAATTTTTGCTCCTGCACTTGCCTAGCATTTTTTAAATGCAGTCAGATACTTGCAAATTAAGTACTACACAGTGGGGTAAAAATGACTTTTTAATTTTTTGAACTGATTATTCAAACTGTACATTACCATTTAAGTAAAAGCTCTCAGGCTCAGCTGTGCTGCTATTGAAGCAAATCGCTATGCCAATTGACACTGAACCAGGATGAAAACAATACTTTCATTTTCTGGTGATTGACCAATAGTGGCTAGAGAAATGATTGTTTTTAATTTGTTTCATTGTATGTGTGCATAAATATTTACACCTTGAGTGCTAAGCAGATTTGCACTGCTACAGATTTAAGACAAGTGAATATTGTATAAACACTTCACATCTGCAAACATGGTTTGCAAATCAAGTTCAATATTTGTTATGCCACTTAAGAGTCAAGCACTGATCTTCATTCTTTGCCTGCTAAATGTTGACCTTTACAGTGATCCAGGGTGATGATTAGAGGTTCCACTACCCCCAGAAGAATCCATGTTGTGCTGTTGTCTGTGTATCTTCTGTTCAGATGATGAATGGTACTTCCTGGAAAATCATGGAAGTGGAGTAGAGAGGAAGGTAGATTAGCAGTACTTCTGAATTTTTCCATTGTTACCCTATTCTAATAAAACTGCAAGACAATGCCAAGTGGTCAAACTACAACATTGTAATAATTTAACAAGGCAAGATAATGCATGGAGAGACTACATAGTTGCTCTCCATGAAAGTATGTATAAATAAAAGCAACAAGTTTCAACATAATCCTGTAAATCAAACAGAAACGTTGTTGGAAAAGCTGAGGTCTGGTAGCATTTACGGACAGACATCCAAGTCAGTTCTGAACAAGCATTATTTGATCTAAACATTAAACCTGATTTCTCTCTGCAGATGCTGCCAGACCTGTTGAGCTTTTGCAGCAATTTAGGTTTTTGTTTGAATATAATCCTTGAGGCTGTAGACGTGCTTGCCAAGCCAGTGGGTTTAGTTGCAAACGTTTCGTCACCCTGCTAGGTAACATCGTCTGTGTGCCTCCAGTGAAGCACCTGTGTTCTGTCCTGCTTGTTACTTATATGCCTGTTTGCTGGGGTGTTTTCCAGTTTTGTTTGTGGTTTGTACACAGGGTCTAATTCAAATGTGTTTGTTGATGGCATTCAGGCCTCCAGGAATTCCCTAGCATGTCTGTTTGGCTAGTGTGATTATTGATGCGTTGTCCCAGTCAAATTTTGTCCCTCCGTTTGGTGTATAGTGTGACAAGTGAGAATTGATAGTGACTCTTGGTGGCTAGTTGGTGTTCATTTATTCGTATAATCAGTTTTCTTCCAGTTTGATTTATGTAGTGTTTTTCAGTCCTTGCATGGTATTTTGTACATTCCCAAAACCAGCAAAAGTGGGGTAATCAAGTAAGCAGGAAACCCAGGACACCGCCATGAAACAACTTGAAGTGGGTTGTGAGGCACAGATCATCTTCAACGACAGCATATACAAACAAATCAACAGAACACCAACAGGATCCATAATATCAGGACTGATTACAGAAGCAATAATACAAAGGGAACGCTGTCAGTTTTAGCCTATTATACAACCCAAACTTTAGGTCCAATATGTAGATGATATCTTCGTGATTATTAAATGCACAAAACTAGAAGAAACCCAGACACAAACAATATCCTTACTAGGATAAAATTTATGAACTAAGAACAACAACCGACTACCCTTCCTGGACATAAAGGGTAGAATGCAAAAACAACAAGGTACTCCAGATGGACCAGGTGCTCAATTACACAACAACCACCCCAACACCTACAAACAGAACCAACACAGTGCAGCAACCCAGAACACTTAAACCGAGTCTTCAGAAGAAATGGATATCTGAAAAGCACAATCCACCATTACCTCCAAGACAGACCACAACAGGAAGACATGACCAGAATCACTAATTACCCTACCATACATCAAGTATGTGTCAGATGACCACAAGACTACTCAGACCCCTGGGTATCACAGTAGTCCACAAACCGACAAACATAAAAGATCCCATACCCAAAACCAGCAAAACTGGGGTAATATACAAAATGCCATGCAAGGACTGAGAAACACTAAATAGGCCAAACTGGAAGAAAGTTAACTATATGGATGCATAAATACCAAATAGCCACCAAGAAACATGACCAATTCTTGTGTCTCACTACGCACTGACAACACATCGATAATCTCAAGCCAAGCAAATGCTTGCCAGGGAATCCCTGGAGGCCTGGTATTCCAACTGGAACTCCATCAAACACATTAAATTAGACTGTGTACAAACCACCAAGAAACAAAACCAGCACACGGGCATATAAATAACAAGTGGGACAGAACACTGACACTTCAGCAAAGGTGCATTGATGATGTTACCAAGCAGGGTAACAATGTCTACAACCTCGTCTACAACCTCATCCACAACCCGAACTACAAATCTTATGCTATAAGTCCTTATTTGTTAAGATAGATCTCTACCTCTTTAATGTGTTGCTTCTAACTTGTATAATCAGTCATTCATGAAGATATCTTAAAGTGATCTAGTCCCACTGCTAGCATTTGGCCCATAATCTCTCTAAAGCCTTGCTATCCATATACCCATCTCTTGCAGCTCATTCCATGCACACACTACCCTCTGTAAAAATTACCGAGGTCCCTTTTCCTTCTTCCCTTAAACCTATGCTCTCTAGTTTTGGACCCTGGGGAAAAGACCTTGAGTATTCACCTTAATTATGCCCATCATGATTCTATTAACCTGTCATCCCTCAGCCTTGTTGAGAGGCTTTATGATAATGCATGTTTGCTGCAAAGTCATTATGATTGAGAAATTGGTTGAGCTAAGCCAAATTACTTAGACTAGTGATGGAAACATTCTTAATGCTATCAAGTGGCATATACGTGGCAATAGCTTGGATTCCATCAGGGACACCCAGTTCTAGATTTCATATCTTAACAGCAAATATGGCTAAAAAGGTGGAATTTAAGAGGTGAGACAACATTTGGTGCGTTTGACATCAAAGCATTTGAATGAGCGTGGCAAAGAAGCCTCAGAAAACTCCACAGTTTACAGTCAAGCCTAACGAGGCACACCTACAGATATTGAGGCCAAAGATAAGAGCTCTAAGACATCACTACAGTAGTTACTTAAGGATGGGACCTGGTCCCAATCGTTATCAGTTGCTTCAATGGGTTATGCTATGTTGAGCTCCATTGCAAAAGCAGATATTTTGGGTTTTTACAAGTTGTCTTTTATGATCAAACATCTTGTTCATATTATCTCAACCATTGGCTTCTCAGTGATTTTCATACACCAGATTGTTCAGCTGTGATAGGCAGAATGTTTTTTGGACACTCGTCAAACTAGCCATTTTACTCTGCTACCATATAGTAGTTACGAGTGGTACTGTCAATACAAAAACATGGTCCATATACCATAAATGAGCAGCAGTGATTAAACTAACATCCTGTAAAGTTCATAAGTTTAGAGGAGTAGAATTTTACGTATTTGATGCAGATTTCAGCAACTGTCCATTAGATTTTGGTGCCCAGTTTCAAAGGAGTCCCTCACCATTGCTAGTCTGACTGGTGGGATACTGCAGTAATCAGTACTGCTTGGAGGGGGAGCTCACAACAACATTTGGAACTTGGTTTAAATTCACAAGACCAAACACTTCCAGTGTTTACAGCGTAGGTTAGGTAGTGTAAACCTTATTATGTTTCAAACCAAACAACATGCCTCAGCATTAACTCTGCTATACTTAGCATGTCAGATTACGATTTAATAATGGATTTAAAGTGGTGTTGCCTTTTGTAAGCTGGTGAATTAACCTTGAACTGTTATGGCTGGTTAGAATGAGAATTATAGTTAATTTGGGAACTGCCAGCTTATTGCAACAGTGACACCTCCCCTCTCTTTCTACCCCCACATTTCAACAGTTCATCTCTTCTCCCCATTGCCCCTCTTGCACCACCCCCCAATTCCACTCGCCTGTCTCGATGGCTTGACGCCCGCGGTGATGACTTTGTTCGGCTCTTATGCTTTTTGCTCTTTTTTTCCTTTTTCTTCTTCTTCTTGCTGATTTTCTGTTTCTTGCGTCGTTTCTGGCCCTCAAACCTAGAGTTTGGGATCAACAGACTAGTTTAAAAAAAAATGTACTCAAGCTGTCATGCAGATCCCATCTGAAATTCAAACACCAGCCCAACCACAACCTCAGAACATTACTGTCTGTCTAACTAGGTACTGAATTCCTTCTTAAACAGTTATGTGAAAGCAAGCTTCATATCCTCAGCACACCGAGAGTACCTTAGAAGTCATCATTATAACCAACACTCCAGAGGCTTGTAGAGAGGTGTAGGCATCGCAGGAGCTAGGGTGCATTATTTCAACATCATGCCCTCCCTCTTTCACTACCCTTTGTTATTGTTGCATGTGAGTAGTACTTGTTTAATTATTTTAGTTGATTATTTGGGTAACGGTGTTGGATTTTTAAAAAGGGGCTGAGTTCTTCCCATGTAATAGTAGATTGAGGCAGTTTCAGTCTGCTCTTCTGCCTAGCTTAAAAATGGCCAAAGGTGCAGGCAGTGACTGCCGCCTTCTGTGTTATGTTCACGCCCTAGTGTCCTTGAAGAGGAGGCATACGGTGTCGACTAACACCCATGAAGCACAGAGGGCTCAGCATCATAATGGATTAAATGTCTTATATATGACCCAACACCATTTTAACTTAATCTTTCTCTTTCTTCACTTTTGTTGATGCATTGCTCCAGTAGGCAGTGCTTGTAACTTGCTATAACACAGTGTGGAGCTGGAGGAACACAGGCCAGGCAGCATCAGAGGAGCAGGAAAGCTGGCATTTTGGGTGGGGATGGGGAAGAGGGTGTGAAATAAGGAGAGAGGGGAGGGGTAGGGCTGAGGAAGGTAGGTGGGTGCACGTAGGGAGTGGTGGGAGAGAAGATGGACAGGTTGTCAGGTCAAGAAGGTGGGGATGAGACCGGGGGTGGGGAGATTTAGAAACTGGTGAAATCTACGTTTAGGCCATGGGGCTGTAGGCTCCTGAGGTGCTGCTCCTCCAGTTTGCAGGTGGCATCATTGTGACACTGGAGAATGCCCACTATGGGAGGGGGAGTTAAAATAGTTCACAACCAGAAACTGTTGTTGTTTGTTGTGAACAGAGAACAGAGCACAGATGCTCTACAAAACACAGTCTCCAAGCCTCCACTTGTTACTTCTGGATAAAAAAGGCTGCTAGAGGTTTCTTGAGGCACAGTGATAGTGTTCCTGTTTCTGAGCCAGGATACCTGCTCTAGAGGTTAAAGTGAAATGACTGAGTCACACTGCAGAATCATGAATTCGAGTTAATGACTGGTGCTTTTTGAATTAGAGCCATAGTGGATGAATGGTGGAGATTCACCCCAGTCATTTTCTTACAAAAAAAGCAAGGAATGGCTTCAGCTTTCATTACAAGGAAAAACAAAAAAAATTGTATTTCTGAAACTGTATGTTACAGACTTGGAGACTGAAGATTCTAATATGGTTTTTGGACAGTCTCCACAAAAAAAAATGTTGAAAGCCAACAAGGCAGTATCACTATTTGAATATTCATCATCTTAAACATATCAATCATGCAATTTGAGAGGTTATTAGAAGATGAATCATTTCAAGCTAAAAATTCAGGAGTGCTGTGATGTTTAAGGTATTAGATTATGCACTAATCTCCTGCACAGTCAGACTTTTGGTTTTGACAGATGTTCAATTTTGAGGTAACTATTCCCTTTGAACAAATGGCAGCTGCGCTAAAAATCTTGTAGGGAGACTATTGTTTTTGGCTACCTTTGCAGACATGTTGGAAGATCTGCGTTACAGAGAATGGAAGATTACAATTACTGACGCTCAAAATTGAAGGGCATCTAGTAGCAGGTGCCTGTAGAAGGATGAAATTGCTGAAAGACATTTAATAGATTTCCAAATCAAAGAAAAAAAAAGAATTTTGGTGATAGCTGACAACAAATCGCAGAAATCTACTGGAATTATTAATAGCTGTATCTTGTATGACTCCAGATATCAAAGGATAAGGTGTCAAATATTTGAAGCAATTCATGAAATGGATGGGTCTGAGGGTAAATATGACAACGATGAACAGAAAGAAAATAGTAGCTGCAAACTGAAGTCAGCCTAAAAGTATCATAGTTGCTGCCAATTCTGCTATACTAGATACTGATTGTATTTCTAGTGTGCAGTGTTAATTGACTGACGTGTTAATTGACTGACCTGTTATTTGGAAACTCTGAACAAAGCAAACAAAAATCAGCTGAAAGCACATGAAATCTCTGTCTGCTTTTGATACATGATAATAGTTCATCTCCATCTTTAAACAGTGGTTGTTCCCTGTGAAATTGCACAACCGCGTCATTTCAGAAACACTGATGCCAGCCAGTGACATACCATTACTGAGCTAAGTCTTCGATGGATGGGTGCATGAATAGGAAAGGTTTAGAGGGTTATGGACCAAATGATGGCAAATGGGACTAGGTCAGATTGGGATGTCTCGTCAGCACGGACAAGTTGGACCGAAGCCGAAGGGTCTACTTCCGTGCTGTATGACTCAAACTCCAGGAGATACAGGCCTGGCTTGTCTAGCCTTTCCTCATAGGCAATCCGCTTTTCCAGATATTAGTCTAGTAAAGTTTATCTAAACTAATTCCAAAGTATTAACATCTTTCTGAAAGTGCAATGGCCAGGACTATACATACTATTCATACAGACTTACCAATGCCAATTTTATTTTAAGTATAACTGAAGCATAACTTCCCTACTCTTGCGCTGAGTTCCCCTCACAATAAAACATAACATTCGATTAGTTTTCCTGATTATTTGCCATATCTGCACAGTAGCCTGTGATTCATGCAGAAATCTCTGCATCCTGTCACCATTTAGATAACAAGCTTCTTTCATCGTCTTTCTGCCGAAATGGACAATTTTGTACTTTGCCACATTACACTCCATTTGCCCACTCACTCTATATACCCCTCTGTAGGCTCCTTATGTCCTCTTCACAACTCATTTTCTTACTTATCTTTAATCAGCCAATTGAAGTACCATACCTTTACAATTTGTCTGATTTGGATGAGGGGATTAGAGTTTAGGCCCCAGCACTGACCCTTTTGGTACACATGACATCTTGCCAGCCTGAAAAAGATCCATTTCTTCCTGCTGTGCTTCCTGTTCACCAGCCAATGCTACCCTCTACACTATAAGCTTTTATCTTGATGTGGCACCTTATCAAATGCCTTCTGGAAATCTGGAGTACACCTACCAGTTCCTCTTTAACAGATGTTAAACTAAATTGGCCTGTAGTTTCCTGCTTTATGCCTCCCTCTCTTTTTGAATAAAAGAAATACATTAGCTATTTCCAATCTAAATGAACCTTCCCCGATGAGTTGGAAAGGAGTTGTGCAAAATTAAAACCAATGAATCAACTATCTCACTAGCGAGACCCCAAGATGAAATCCTTCAGGATCTGGGGATTCGTCAACTTGGTAATTACAATTTTCTTCAGTTTCTCCCTCCCTTTCAATTCCTGATTTACATCTATTTCCTGGATGATACTCGTCAGTCTTTACGACAGAGAATACAAAATATTTCCTCAATTCATCTGCTATCGTCCATTACCAATTCCCTCCAGATTCATTTTCTGCAAGACCAACACAAGATTGTTAACTCATTTCTTACAAATAGTTTGTTTAGATATTTTAAATACCTGCTTTTATATTTGTGACCAACTTTCTTTCCCTCCTTATTAATCTCTTAGTAATTCTTTGCTAATGTTTTATGATTGTCCAATCTTCTGACTTGCCACCTTCTTTGCATAATTATGTCTTTTCTTTGGAGATCGTTAGCTAACCACAGATGGTGGGTCCATTCCTTGATTTTTTTTTTATTTGTTAGAATACATCCATTATGTCTGTTCTGCATTTTCTGGAATATCCCCTGAAATGTTTGCCACTGCATATATATTAACCGAAGTACTTTAGCTACCTCTGCTTTCATGTCCTCATAACTGCTCTTGCTTAAACTTAAATTAGTCGTCTTGGACCCTCACTTTTCTCCCTTGAGATGTACGTAAAACTCAATCATACTATGGTTGCTGCTAACTACAATGAGGTAATTTATCTCATCTTATTTGTTAAAACCAAGTCTAGGCTGTTCTCTGGTTGGTGATATAACAGGCTGGTCTAAGAACTTGTGCCCAAAACATTCAGCAAAGTTCCTCATCTAGGCTACTTTCCCTCATCCGATTTTCCTAGTCTATATGTAGGTTAAAATCCCCCTATATTAATTGCTGTATTCTTTTGACAAGTTCCTATTATTTCTTGATCCTACCATGTGGTTACATTAGGAGGCCTGCATACAACTCCCACAAGTAACTTCTTGCCTTTATCATTCCTCATTTCTACCCAAGCTGCTTCTATATCCTGGTTTCCAAAACTTAGGGCATACCTCTCTATTGTGCTATTATCATCTTTAGGTTTGCCCTGAATTGTGATGGTCTGCTTGAGCTCCCACTTGCTGCTGCTTTGACACAGCAGCTGTACTGCCGATCTTAACAAGTTAATTAGTCATTTAGTTACATTATTCACTTATGTTGCTTTTTTATATTTTATATAATACTCACATTAGTTTTAGCCTTGGTAAAGTTAGAGAACAGAGTAGGCTGCAATCAAATAATAGATATTCACTCCGGATAAACAAGTGTGTGTGTCATGTCTGATGTTTGACTTGACCCTTCTGCCTTCAAATTCTCCCTTTCTACTACCAGCCAATGAATTCATAGACTTTGTGATGTCATTCTAATTTCTTCAGCAAGAACTGACCACAGGCCATTCTTCCCACTCTCAGACATTACAGGAAAGTCTTACGTTAATTGGCTGGTGAGGACTGCTACTTGGAGATGGAGTCTAAATAACTGCAAATTTAAAAAAAAACTATAAAAATATTCAGTATTAATATTCAGGAACAAGTGAATAGTTGCTTCCTAGTACAGAATTTGAATATTGGTAAACAAAAAGGGCATAGTGTCAAAGATTTTCATTACACACTAAGTCAGAATCACAAGAACACTAAACCTCAAAGAAATAACGATTCATATTGCACAAAGAGGTAAATGTTGAATGGTTGGCAAATAGCCTCTGACTGCTAGAAGCATTCCATACAGTGAAAATAAAAACAGTATTTGTGGCCACTGGTTAGCACCAGCTATCCCCAAACTACTCACTTTAGGGTCTCAGGCTCTCCACTCTGTGGCTCTGATTTCCGCTTCTGGCTTGATGACTTGCTGGTGTCATCAGATTTGTGGTGCTATAACAAGAGTGAAAGGGAACATCAGAATTTTGAAAATAAAACTGCAGATCCCTGACAATATACCGCCCGAGTGCCATGGAATCCTGCAAATCCAGCACAATACCAGTATTATGGACTGGACCGGACCACACCCCCATCGAAACATGTCAACGAGATAGACTAGACCCCAATTTTATCTTATTTTAAGATGCAATTCGATTGGTTAAACCATTAGGTTTGAAGGAAAATACACTATTCATTCACAATAGCTAAAATAAAGACAAAAGAAAAGAATTGGCTTAACAGTAACTCTGTCAAAATACTTAAAATGATAATAAACTACCCATTAACTGTTCCAATGCAGGAAAATTCAGTAACAGATTGTCTCATATGGAATTTTAGCAGGAAGAGAACCCAAGCTTTTAGCTGTAGCAAAAAAAAAAAGAGATGTAGCAGGTTTCACAACTCCAACAGCTACTGAAAGCTAAACTAAAAATCCTGGTTTTGTGGGAACTTGACCCCACCCAATCAGGCTGCTTCTATTGGTCCACCTTCTTAAAAGTTTTAAAAAATGGTACCCCAAGCTGTTACTTTATTGGCTTGAAGCAGCTGCTCGCCACTCTGTCTCAACCTCACTTCATGTATCAAAAGAGAACAAAATACACCTCTTAAAGCCATAGTATCATCACACCAGAGAGCCCCTGAATATATAGACATTGCCCAAGGAACTGCAGGAATATAATCAGCACAGTGCCAGGGAACTCTCCACCAGAATATGCCAGTTTGCCAGGGAATCCCCACCCAACCGAATATACCAGACTCATGCTGGGGAACATCATGTATAGATAGTACCCTAGAAACTGCAGGAATTTCTAAAGTCGCAGACAGGCAGGGTAGTGAAGAAGGCGTTTGCTAAGCTTGCCTTTATTGGTGAATACTTTGAGTATAGGAGTTGGGACGTCATGTACAGGACATTGTTTAAAGACATTTCAGAATGCTGCATTCAATTCTGGTCCCCTTGCTTTAGGAAAGATGTCGTTAAACTAGAAAGGGTTCAGAAAAGATTTAGGAGGATGTTGCCAGGGTTGGAGGGTTTGAGCAATAGGGAGACTGGGGCTATTTTCCCTGGAATGTCGGAGGCTGAGGGGTGATTTAAAGAAGTTTACAAAATCATGATGGACATGGATAGGGTGAATGGGTTTGGGTGTCCAAAACTCAAAGGCATAGGTTTAAGGTGAGAGGGGCAAGATTTAAAAGGGTCCTGAGGGGCAACTTTTTCACACAGAGGGTAGTGCATATGTGGAATGAGCTGCCAGAGGAAGAAGTGGAGGCTGGTACAATTACAACATTTAAAAGGCATCTGGACAGGTATATGAATAGCAAGGGTTTAGAGGGACATGGGTCAAATGACTAGATTTATTTAGGATATCTGGTCGGCATGGACGAATTGGACTCTGTTTCTGTGCTGCACAAGTCTATGACACTACTAGAGTTTTACCAGCATATTACTCAGAGAAGGGAGATGTGATAAAAGCTTTGATAAAAGTACCCTGCAAGAGAGGTTAACGTACAAAATTAGAGCACACGGGATTGGGGGGTAATATTGGATTGCAAATTGATTAGCAAACCAAAAAAGACGCTAGGAATAAATGAGTTTATTGCAAGTGGAAGGCAGTGACTAGCGGGGTACTACAGTGCTTTAGACCTAGTTATGCGAGATATAAAAGTTTTAATGATGGAATTGAATATAATATTTCATTCACGTTTGCCAGTAAAGCAAAAATAGGAGGAATTGAATGGTAAGGAGGATGTAAAAAAGCTTAAAGGCAATTTAGACAAGTTGAGAGATAAGCAAATGCCTGGTAGATGCAGTATGATATTGATAAGTGTGAAGTTATTCATTTTGGGAGGGAAATCGGAATGGCAGAGTCTAATTTAAATGGTGATAGATAGGGAAGTGTCAATGTACAAAAGATCTGGGTGAACACATGCACACTGTTGCAGCATGCAATTGGTCTTTATTGAAAAAGGATGAGTACAGATGCAAGAATGACTTAATGTAGCTATACAGGGACTTTGAGAGCCCACACCTGGAGTACTATGTACCGTTTTGGTCTCCTCACCTCAGAAGGGATAACTCAACTCTGCCAACAGAGTGCAGCAAAGGTTAACTTAGATTGCTGAAATGGCAGGAGTCATGTGAGGAGAGATTGGGTTGACTGGGCCTGCACTGGAGTTATGAGTCAGGTTATCATTGAAAATATAAAATTTTGGTAGGGTTGGACAGACAGGTTCTAGGGTGACGTTTCCTCTGTCTGGTAGGTTACAATCTCAGGACACAGGCTAGGCATTAAAGGTGGCAGGACAGGTAGAGATAGTTGTAAACTAGCCTCAGTATTCTAGGCTTCATAAAATAGGGGCATAGAGTACAACTGCAGGGAGGTTATGCCAAACCTATAAAGGGCAATGATTAGAAGTCAACTGGATAGTGTGAACATTTCTTTGTGCAACACTCTGTAAGACAGTTTGTGAACACACTAGACAGAGCACAGAAGAGGTTTACAAGAATGGTTCCAAGGATAAGAAATTTCAGTTATATGGGTAGGTTGGAGAAGGTGAAACTGCTTTTCTTGGCAAGAAGATTTGATTGTAGTTCTCAAAAGCATGAGGGGTCCAGACAGAGTATATAGGAATTTTTTCCTGCTTGTAAAAGATCAAGACAATGGTAAGTTTTGAAAAGTTTGCAAAAGCAGCAATTGCGAGGAGAGCAAACTCTTTTTCAGTGATCCAGGTTTGACTGCATTGCCTGGAAGTGTGGTGGTAGCAGGTTCAATTGAGACACTCAAGGAGGCAGTGGATAATTATTTAAATAGTAACAGAGTTATGGCAAAACAGCAGGAGATGGCACCAAATCAAAATGTTTAGACAGACAGTAGGCCAAATGGTCTCCTTCCACACCATAACAATTCCATGATTTAGGACCAAAATGAACAGAAATTTCTTCACACAGGACAGTAAATCGGTGTAATTCTACACCCCATATGTTATGAACACCAAGTCACTCAATACATTTGAGAGAGAGATGTCTAGGTACTAAAGATGTTGAAGGGTGTTGGGAGACAGAAGTATGATATTTAGATCAGGTAATCCTGTATCTCCTACAACGCAAACACAAGGCGTTCCAGAACTGGCAGCTCCACAAAAACCTCAAGTGAGAGGAAACAAGCCTATGGCAACTGAAAGCTGAGGTGCAAAATAAAAGAAGCTACGATCTAATGGACGATGGGCGGAAATAGCGCAGGAGATGCATCAAGTTGCTGACAGCACAATGTGCATGGCGTCATTAGCACAAACAATCTGAGTAGCCATGGACCTAGTCCACTGACAGCCCAACTCACTCCAAAAAGCAGTCAATGCCCACTGCAGCATGCATTTTGAGGACCTCCTCAACCAAGGAGCAGCCTTCGATACAAGTGATTTCGACACCATCCTGCAACACTTTGTCGCCATCTCAGTGCACTTCCAATTCACCACGCGGCCCAAAAAAGCCATCTGACCTCTAAAAACAACAAGACCTAAAATGTTGATGGAAACCCTGAAGCACCAAAATATGGCAAAGAGGCATGACATGACCACAACCTCATCGTCCTTGTCTGGAAGGAAGAGACTAAGCTGAGAGATCTCAGACACCCCGTAATTGTAACTATCTTCGGGAAAAGGAACATGTCCGACTCTGGAAATTAGAGGTATTTCCTTACTGTCTGCCACAGGAAAGATAGTCAGAATCCTCCTCAACCACCTCTTCCCAGTGCTGTAAAGTTCCTCCCAGGATCGCAATGCTGCTTCCAGCCAGCAAGAGGTACAATGGACATTATTGTTAATGTGTGACAAATCCAAGAAAACTGCAGCACCAACCTGTTATGTGGCCTTCTTCGATCTCGCAAAGGCCCTTGATGCTATTGACTGAGGAATTGTGGAATATCCTCCTCAAATTCAGCTGTCCACAGTCATGTGTCACCATTCTCCGCCTGCTTCACAATACCATGCAAACTATGATCCTTACCAAGAGAGCCACCACAGACCCAGTACGAGTGCAAATCGGGTCAACCAGAGGTACATCATCGCGCTAACACTCTTCGCCGTCTTCCTCACTGCAACACCATTTTCAATGTTTCTACTACCTCAATTTAACCTGTCCAACCTCAATATCATTCTTATGAATACGCACACTTCCAATGTCAATACGCCCCGAGGCCCAACCAAGATTCTGCAAACTTCTGCATAACTTTCTCATTGGTAACTCAGCCTCTTATCCCACTAAAAACTTAACTGAATGATGCCTACCGTAAAAACAGCCAGTCCAAGTTTAGCTGCCTCACGGTCCTCTCTAGTCAGCATCATTCTGGGAGCAGTGCCACTAGAAAGAAACAGGTTGGAACAGCTGGTTATCAGATGTTAGCTTACACTTGCTAGTTCCTTATTTTACCTTAAATAGTTTACCTATTTTCTTTCTGTTATCAATAAACTGGGCATAAATGACACAGGTAAACACCTTACTCTCCATTCGGCAGATCCCAGATCAAGGCCAATGTCACTCTTCATCTGCTGGAAGCGGACAAGTGACAGACACAAAGTGTTCCTCTGCAACACTCAAACAACAGTAACAACAAAATTCAAACATATTTGGAGATTGGAGAAAAGAGGGGAGAGGAGAAGAAATTAAGCTCTCAGCAGTGCCAGCTCATTCTCTTCATTAAAATGCTTACAAACCTCCATCTGGATGGATCTAACAGTTTCCCTCCTTCCTCACTGAGGTGAGATGAGGAAGATTTGCCAGCACCGTTGGAACAATATCCTCTCAAATATTCTATTTAAGAAAGCCAGTTGGCAAAAAATTTGTACAGCAGCCAATCTTTGCTCAGTATTAAGGGGAGGCAATGGTCTAGTGGTATTTTCACTGGATTGTTAATCCAGAGACCCAGATTATGTTCTGGGGACCTGTATTTGAATACCACCACAGCAGATGGTGGAATTTGAATTCAATAAAATATCTGGAATTAAGAATCTAATGATGACCATCAACCCATTGCCAATTGTCGGAAAAACCCATCCGGTTCACTAATGTCCTTTCGGGAAGAAAACTGCCATCCTTACCTGGTTTAGCCTACATGTGACTCCAGACCCACAGCAATGTGGTTGACTCTGAACTACCCTCTAGGCAATTAGAGATAGGCAATAAATGCTGCGTAGCCAGCGACGCCCTCATCCAGTGAATGAATAAAGAAAAAAAAAATCAACTTACACAGCAAAACATTACAAGTACATACCTTTTAACTCCCTCACACCCTGATGTCAATGCATTTTTCTTTTGAATCCAATTTAAATTAAAACAAATTAATCAAATTAACAAGTGATAGACTTTTAAAGGGGCACTGTAACATATCAGAACTTTAAGGGATAATTACAAAATTAAATTAAAATATTGTTTTAGAGACAGTGAGAAAGTGATAATATACACCAGCCCCTGTGGTGCCCACGGGTCAGGAGAAGTCTCGAACATATCAGTGGACACAATGTACTTGCTCCATGTCCTGTACCACTCATTCATGAATGTAACCGTAGAAGAAAAGAATATAATCAGACCCAAGTTTCTCTTTAGACTCTTATGAAAGCAAATGAACTAAATTAACCAAATTAAAAGCTGACAGTTCCTTAAAGGAACTTTGAAACAAAATTCAACATTCAATTTAAGCTTACAGAACACAAACTAAAATTGAATTGTGGGCTATGGTTAAAGGCTCAAAACATTTCCTCTCCAGGAACAACAGGACATTGATGTAACTACAGAAAACAGAAAAGTAGTCAAGTTTCAATTTCCTTCATACTCTTCTGAAAGATCAGATTAAAATAAACCAAATAAACAGTATCATGCCCTGGAAAGGGCCCTGCAACAAAAACAAAACTCTTAAGGAAAACATCAATTGAATTTACTTCTGGAGTGATAATACATCTAATGCACTGCAGCCCCCATGGTGTCCATCAGTTGTGATGTGCCAGGAACTCCTTTAATCTGCCTGCCCCTCTGCACACTGGATGACCAAAGAACAGGACTATGAGACCGAAGTTTAAGCAAAAATTAAGTGAAGGCACCTTCAAATAATGAACATGACTTTGTAAAAAAGTGCACAAGCATGTACACAGGGAACACTGACTTCACACTGTCACACAAAATACAGGCGATCTGGGAGTCCATAAATCATCTTAACTGCCCATTACGAGGGACTGGTATGTGCAATACACTCCATACCAAATTCAAGTTTCTCTATATATACAATCCAGGTGGGTGAGACTTGAATTTAGGCCTTCTGACCTAGAAACATTATCACTGCACCATGTGACCCCTTTTTAAGATTAATTTACTTGCACAACCACTGATGTGCTATGCTCGGGAAACCATAAATGCTGTAGCAAAGTGGACTGGTGCATATATGCTGTAGTGTGGAGCTACAGATATTGATGGTGGAGACTCCAACATTTTCCATTACCAGGCTGACCACAAATTTCTCCCACTGTCTGGCATTGGCATATGTTGGAAGGATTTGCAAGTTGATACTCAACCTGTTTATGTTCAACCACATTATGGATGCACTTCTTGCAATTTATATTAATGAATTAAATGAGGGGAAGAAAGGTATTATGGCTAAATTTGCAGATAACACAAAGATAGGTAGGAAAAAGTGCAATGAAGATGATATAACAAGGATGCAGACTGATATCGATAGGTTAAGTGAGTGAGCAAACGAACAGTCAGCCAGTAGATTATAATGTGAGAAAATATAAAGTTGGTTACTTTAGGAAGAACAGTCACTGACTACAGAATTCCGAGATACAATTGGACCTAGGTGTTCTAGTTCATGAGTTTAAACAAAAAGGTTTGTATGCAGGCACAGCAAGTGATTAAGGTTAACAGAGCGCTATCTTTTATTACAAGAAGTAGTGAGTATAAAAGGAAGGATGCTATACTTTAGTATTACACAGGGACATTGGTGAGATCACATCTTGAATACTGTTTGCAGTTTTAGCCTCCATATTCAAGGAAGGATCCAAATGCATTGGAGGCAGTTTACAGGAGTGTTACTATATCAAAACCAGGAACATTTCATTATGAAAATTTGGATCGGCTGGAGTTTAGAAGAGTGAGTCTTCTGAACAATTCTGACACTGGATTTCGAAAAGATGTTCACTTTTATGGGCGAGTCCAGATCTAGAAGACACTCTTAAAACTATTGCTCAACATTTTAGGACTCTCTTGTGTAACTTTGAAACTGTCAGAGGGTGGTGAATGTGAGGTCATCAAACAGTTTTAAATACAGCAGTAGATAGATTCTAGCTACTAAAAAAAGGTCATCATGGATAGATAGGAATGTGGAATTCAGAAAACAATTACACATTACACTCCTTACGCCAATTTCTTACCCACTCACCAAACTTCCTTATGTCCTCGTCACAATATACTTTTCTACTCATCTTTTTGTCCTTCCTATCTCTAAATTTAGCTACCATGACTTAATTCTCCTCATTTAAGTCACTGATATAAATTGTAAAAAGCGAATGCCCTTTTAGGATCCTACTTGTCACATCATGTCAATTAAGAAAATTTATGCACACACTATTTTCTGCCAACCAATCCTCCTGGGGTGCTACTATATTACTTTCTCTATCACAAAGGTGTGGCAGCTTGCCAGATGCCTTCTGGAAATTCAAGTATAATATGTTTACTAACAAAGATTTGGGGGCGGGGTAATTTGTATTGTTACAAAATGGCTTCATCAAATGAAGTAGTTAGCGAACCTGTACAAGGAGCCTACGAAAACCAAAAATTAAATCCAAAAATCAAAAATGTAGCCCTGAAGGACTCTCAAAAGGTGTCCCCCTTGAAAATAAAAATTGAACCCTACATGTGACATTATATAAACAGATCATAGAGTTATCAGTGTTTTGGGATATTTCTCCCTCAACCACATGAAACAGAGGTACAGTGATTCATCTTTGTGGGATCTTTCATGTGCCAAATGTATTTGCCATCATAAAACACAATTTGCTTTATTTGAAAATCATTAAAGCAGTGTCAATGATATGCTGCAATATGAATACAATAATAATTATACCCTACAAGTTTACAGAATCACTGATATAACAGGGAGTCAATCACCATGTTTCTGTCTGCTTTTCTCAAATATGCAGCCTGTTATAAGATATAGGTTCCCATGTCTTGTCTACACCCATTATACATAGCCATAGTTCCTGCTTTCAGCAATGAACCATCAGCAAACACATGGACTACGGCTTTGTGGATAGAGGATTACAATCAGACCCAGGATGTCTGTGCATGTTCCTTCCAATGAGAAAGCAACTAAAAAGTAGCAATGTTGCTGAGCTATCTCCTTCTAAAAGAAGGCAAAGCCCTAAAATGTGTCACCTCCATCACTGCCATGGCCAAGATCAGGCCAGTCACGTAACTTGTAATTTCATAGTGCCATTTAACATGACAAAACTTCCCAAGACACTTTTACAGCGTGTAGCAGGAAATACAATAGCAATAGGATGATATTAGGACAAGTGACCAAAAACTTTGAGATAGAGAGAGATGAAAGTTGAGAAACAGGGAGAGGATTTGGGGGTATTTTCAGAGATTAGGGCCTCAATGTACAGGCTCCAATAGGGAGGTAAAGGATAGGGAGGATTTAAATGAAAGAACTGGAAGAGTGGAGAAAGCACTTAGTCCAGTTAGAGAAGCGATAAAATTTAAAACATAATCTATTCTCTATTATACAGTGATATGAAAAAGCATACATTCCTCACACTCAATTACAAAACAAGAGAGAAAATAAAATCAAATCTAATCACAGATGGCAAAGCCTGGAAACCTCCTGAACGGTGGACAGTGATAGACATCAAGACAACATGGTCATTCTGGTGAAATAGACAGACATGTAATTGATGGAACTTATGACAGAAAAGTGTGAAGCGATACCTTTAGTTACGAAGCATTAGGTGAGGTAGCTTAAAATAAAGGAAAGGATTCCAAATTAGTTGCAGAGACATAGGGACCCAAGGGTATTGGCGCGCAAACTATTAAAAGTGGTAGGGCAGGTGAAAAAGCAATAAATAAACCATATGGCATCCTGGGATTTAGAAATAGGAGCAGAAGTAGGCCATTCTGCCCTTTGAGCCTAAACTATCATCCAAGAAGATTATGGTTGATCTGGTTGGGATCTCTACTACACCTTTTTCTGTCTGAGCCCTACAAGATTCAAAAATCTAAGATTTCCTTGACTAAATACATAACCCAGCCTCCAGAGTTTCCTGCAAAAGTGGATTCCACAGACTAAGAAGCTTCAGAGAAAAAAAATCCTC